AAGAATACAAAATGCGAAGTGCTTTCACGTCCAGCATATGTCTGACCCTTATATGTCTGTATTTCTTATTGTTAATTGCAACGGTGATTTATCTATGAATCAGCACAATGTGCTGATGAACTATAGTCTTTAAGCAAGTTTCTGAAACTGTATCTGGTCACTAACAGACAGGATAGTGCATCAAGTAAATGCATGAAACATTTATACCAAATCTAATTTGGCTCCAGCTGATGAGGCTGTTTTTCCATCAGATGGAAGTCTATACATTCTCCAAATTACAACCCTTCTTGGTGCTAATACTAATAACAAAACATTAGATTTCATTAGTGTCTCTCAGTGACAAGTTAAGAGATACTGACATGGAAGAAGTGCATGAGTTTGCTTTTACAGTAAATTCTTTAAAGCCAAAATGAAATTTTAGCTTAGTTTAATACAATTTCACCAACTACTTCTCATTCACGACAATGAGTTCTAAACATTTTCCCTTTTGGAAATGAATGTTCCAGGTATCTTTTACCTGAAAGTGGCATGGATCACTAGGTTCATCTTTAAAACATTAGTATCATATCATACTAGGACTGACTAGCTATACAATGTAACTATGAACAATGAACTATGCTCTTTTATTTCCTCTACATGGAACATAAACTTAGCAGGATACTGACTATTTGTCTGGAACATGGAATTTTAGCCCCATCTTTTAGCACAATTTTGAATGGTAAATCATCCCCATGTGTGAGACAATCAGGAGCACAACAAATGGTAAACAGGACATTTTTACAGTTGGACACTTTCACTTTGCACTTTTCAGCTCATGTAATTTTTGAAGAACTCTCATTTTCTTGCCATATTACTTCAGTGTAGCTAGGTGACACCTCAATTCTCTTATCTGTATGTTACACCCCAAAAGATCATCTCATCATTGTGGTGTGTTATTTTTGCTTGTGTAACCTTCAGCCTCATATTAATTTACCTAACAAACATTTCCTTCAGGATATAAATTTCTATCATATGTAATCTGGGAGGTTTATATTACGTTATTGTGTTCACCCATTTAACCAGTACATTTGAGACCAGCCAGAGCACCCACAGGTTCTATCAAACTCAGGCAAGAATGAAAGTAATTTCTCTCATTTGCTTTAATGTCCTTTTCTATTAGTCCACCTGACCCCCTCATGGCTTCAACACCCAGTATCAGTGTTCCTTCTTTGCATCTTTACCTCTGCCAGGCACACAGAACAAATATCTTTTTTTCTGGCTATTGCTTTGTGGTCATCTTTTCTTTTTAAGGTGCTTCAGTTCTCCTTGAAATTCATAAAAACAGACATAGAAAGAACAAGCACAGCAAGTTTTTCAAAGTCCCACTAAAACTGCATTTTGGAAACAACTTAGTGCAAAAATGATCTGCTGACACGTGAAATAATACAGTACATGGCAGAAAAAGTGAAGGGCTGGAAAAGATCAAATATAAATTCATATTTTTGTTTTAAACTTTATAATATCTGTATTTTTATTTGAATCCTATTGAAAGCTATTTTTCCCAGTTCTCTTAACAAGGAACTCAGAGAGACGAGGCGGTCCAAGTGGATACAAAAAACCGTGCTGGTTTATTCAAAGGATCACAGGTAAAATTAACATTACACGTCCAGACATCTTCCACCTCCAACACTGCGCACAGGCAGATGAAGAATGAAAGACCCTGAACCCAACAGGCCTGTACATTATATCTGGTTTGGGCTAACCCCATGGGACTTGTACGGACATTAAGCCTAGGACGATATTATGATTAAGATTACGGCTAAACATATCATAATAATAACAATAATCCTCCTGCCTGCTGACAATCAAACTTTTCTATCGAGTTATCCTTGCCCACGTACACCCTGCTAAAATCTCATGACAATGACTAAGCGTTTAAACTAGACATCCTGTCTCCACTAAACATTTCTAATACAACAAGTATCTAACCAATATCTATCTGACTAAAAAAATACCTAACACTATAATCCTTAAAAGTGTAGAGTTTGGTAAATGTGGCAAAATACAGTTTTTCATTTGTGAGACAAGAGAATCTAAATTTGAAGTTAATATGTCTTGATGGAAAGTCAGTCACAGAGCTGCAAAAAGGCTATGAGGAGAAACAACCAGAGGAATGCAAAATGTCCACAAACTGATGTAACATGACTACAAACAGATAATGCCTAAAATGAGAAACCAAAAGAGAACAAATGATACGGCTTTGTCTTGACTCTCTTTCAGTCTGGGTGTCTTGTTCCTATAGGAGGTGTGAGAGACCTTTCATGTGTTAGTGAACATTGTCTCGTGTTAATTAGACATCAGCTCATTTCATGAATATTCAAAACATGTGCATCTGTGCTGTAAAAGAAACAGTAAGATGGTTGGTAAATGGTCTTATATTTGTATAGTGCCTTTCTATGCTTTACAGCACACTCAAAGCGCCTTCACATTATTTGGCCATTCACCCATTCGCACTCCCAAACACACACATTCACACACCGGTGACATCACCGGGAGCAACTGGGTGTACAGTGTCTTGCTCAAGGACACTTCGACATGATGACTGTGAAAAACATGAAACAAGTTCGTTTGTATTAAACGCAGCTAAAAAAAAATCCCACTACATTGCACCTTTTCAAAAGGCAAATGTTTGCAGTGTACTGCTGATTTCAGCCACTGGTATGCAGGAAAAGAAAAAACAACAGTTATAAATGTGCTGGCATTTACTGTGAAATCATACAGCTTTTCATATCATAACTACAGTAACTGTAATTCATCCCTGATGGCCAGCAGACTCATTCCACAGCCCTCTGTGTTTGTCCTGATTACTCTGCCTCGTGCACAGCTCCTCTAATTAAAAAATGTTCCACCTTGATTAGCAAGAATTTATTATTTACTCAAAATTATCACACTATGAAATAAGCAGCATTTGTAACAAGGGAAAAGAAAAATAAACTCACGACGCACACACAAATTGGGAATATTGTGATTAGTGTGAATTATGAATGTGGTGAAAATATGAAGATAAAGATGCCAATTAAAACTAGAGGAGAGAGTCAACACAGTTAATTTAAATACAAACGAGTGATCACACACAAAAGACTTGCTACAAAATGATCTAGTGTGGGTGTTTCCTCTGTCTGTTCATTTCCACTAATTCACACCATTTGTCTTTCTTAGATTAAGAAGATGTGGTGGCTTTGGTTTGAAAGACCAGGCAGGAAATGTCACATTTTCTTTTCTTTTCTTCTTCTTTTTTTCTTTTTTAGGAGAAATAGGAAATATGTAATAAGTCTAGTAGCATTTCACTAAGTATCTATTCATGTATAAATTTTAATTTCACTGCATCCTAAGGGGTGATTCTGCAGTTTTACTACTGTTTTAAGTTTCAACAGCTAAGACAGCTCATAACCCAGAAGTAATATTTAAAAATGTTTAATACAGACTGGCCAGCCATCACACTCATTCACTGCTCTTTGTCAAAAAAGGTCTGATAAAGAGCATGAGCTAGAAATTGACCTGTCTGGCGCTTTCTAACCTTTGACATTTTATGCAAAGTGAATGGAAATCCCATAACAACTGGGATGGTGAGAGTTTATAAGGTTAAAAGCTGCACACGCTCAGTGAAAGAGATCATATTGGACAATAAATATGATTAGTGGTATGGAAAATAACCAGCTCATCAAATATGCATTATGATCCTGCATATTTTATAGGGATAAATATAACAACAACTCTGGGAAGAGGGCTGAACTTAACATGCACACATGCAGGACATATGAATAGGAGAGTTAGGCTCCCAACAATAATAATAAATCTTTTGCATCCTGTCAGTAACTGGGCTGCACATGAGGAGGTTTATTACAAAAACAGATGTCGATTATAAAAAACCTTATTAATCTTTAGAAAATGACAGATGGCACCAGATTAATGCAACTTTTCACACTTTTCAAATTTCTAATAACAAGATCATTTGCGCCATCGTCAAAAAGCACTTGATCAGAAGCTTCTCCATAAATATCCAACAAATAAGAAACATCCTCATCTCTCCACTGAGCCCTCTCCTCCATGTTTATTTTTACTGGTCTGTGAAGGGCCGACACTAAATAGTGACAAGAGGCAATATATACAGAGGAGGGAGGCGTTAAAACAACCACATGAATTCAGATATGACCGTCCTGACAGCACTCGCAGAGTCAGAGATCGAATATGAATCAGATCTGGGAGCAAGTAGCCCAGATCTAATCTGAAAACATCTGATCTGATTTATTCATATGTGGAAACATCAGATCTGAAGAAAGGAAAAAAACTGGGTTCAGCCAGTAACATTGACCTCTGTGGCTGTAGCAGCCTAACTAAGAAAAAGCAAAGGTGGAAGTCAGGTGACATTATACAGTGACAGGTCCAGTTAGGGTGGATGGATGAGTTGACAAAACACTGGACTTTGACTCAGAGGATGGCTGTGTATCTCCTTTTCCCAAACTTATTTCCTTTTTTTTTGCTAGCTGTTCTGTTCACACACACATTGACATTAAAAGTAAAAACATAATATAAAAACTCCTGAACAATAAACCGTCTTTGCAGCTAGCATCTGTCTCAAAACAAAAATGTTTCTCCTTCCTTTCTGCTCCTCTTCAACATGCATTTATTGTGTCCAGTGAAAATAGTAACACAGCTTCCAACTGGATTCTCCACATCATGTTTTCTTTATGCAGTAAACAGTTGTAGGGTCCTGAAATTCAAAATGAATTTATCAGCGTGAGTCCTTCATAAAAAGCAACACATCCTGTTAGATGCCTTTCTGAACCCCTTCTGTAAGACACTATGAACATGAAAGTCACAGAAATATCTCAAATGTAAATGCCTGCAATATCTTTGCCTCAAGCAAATTTACATTCTGATAAAGAAACGTCTTTGTATGTGGGAGGCACTGGCAAACATCCTGGTTTATGAACTGTCTGTCAGCTGCATGTGAAGCAGCACATACTTGCTATAGCAGGAAAGAGAAGGAGAAGCAAGGGAAAAGGAGAGAAAGAGAGAGACTCGATTTAAATGTGGCACTGAGAAAAACAAAGGAGGGAAAACAGATTGTGTATTAAGATGTGTTGCCTCTGGTGAAGCGCCAGTTGAAGACGAGGAAGAACATTTGCAGCCTTCAGTTCTCAGTATTATTAGCATTAGTTTCTGCTTTGGTCAGCTCGGAGACGAGAAGCAGCCAGTGGAAGACGGCAGAAACTTCAAACTGAGCTGCTGGGAGTCCACGACGGACAGCAAGGGATTTAATTCGAGATCCTGGTTTCAGATAAAGGAGCATTCTGTGAAACTGAGGAGCAAAGATGAACCAAACTGCATCCGTGTCTCATCAGATTGAGTGTCAACCTGCCAAGGACACCAAGGTAGGAGGGATTTGTTCATGATGTGGTTGTTTTTAGTCCTTTTTAAATCTCACACTATGCTTTTATCCTCACTGCACCACTCACCTATAGATCAGCTGATTACAGCACATTAATATTTAACATTTGCCACAGTTCTGATCTTAAAGCACCTTGTCGGAGCCCTTACACTCTCCCTAACAAGTGTTGTTTTGTGCATTTCTAACCAATGGCTCTATCCATAATGCTAAGGTGGTTGTTCCAAACATATCCAGCTGAAGTAAATAATTATAAACAAGCTGTGTCAGTAAAAAAGATGTTTTTAGACAGTTTTTGAAAGAAAGGTATGGCAGGTTTATGTGTTTGAGGTGTTATCACACAATCAAATAGCCTCACAAAGCATCAAATATAAGAAGAAAATGAAATCTGCCACTGTCAGAATGCTTAACAGCCCTTCTGAAAACACTTCTGGTTTTAAAATAGCTTTTCAGTTCTCATTTGTTGCAAAGTTGCCCTTCTGTTTTTGAAAAAGCCCTTACAGTTATAGCGGGTAGCATTGTGTCATTTTGTGATATGATACAATCGATCAGTGCAACAAAAAGAAGAAGTTTTGTCATGGTGGCACGTTGTTCTACAAACATGATGTCTGACACAACCAATCATGAGTTAATCCATCAGATAGAAGCAGAATTAAAGAATGACTATGACAGTGTAGCTCAGAGGCACGAGGAGGCTGCAGTGACCACAACACACACAGTACTGTAAGTGTGACTTGAGCCACACTGCGAGACTTGCACTTACTGCTCTTTGTGCTTAATGCTGGTGATGAAATGTGTCAAACTAAATGTTAAGATAAAAGTATCTGACTTAAACTGGGCATGTGTTTGAGTGTGCTGGTCTTGTTTAACACTCAGAAGAAGCCACAGTGCACTGGCATCAACTCTGGGTGTCAGTGATGTCAACAAAACAAAAGGACAGTAGAATATATATATTTTAAGACTATGTTCTCAACTGTATATCTCAATCATGCTGAAAGATCAAAATGCACTCATGCTTTTTGTGCCCTCCTCAGCTGATATTACAATACAAGGCAGAGACAGTGACAGCAGTGAGCAGACTAAAGACTCCAACACTACAGAGCTTCATTATGGCTCGTAGTTTATGCAAAGCAGTTTTTCCTGTAGCTGCGAGCAGATCCCTCAGACAGGGAGACAAACAGCCAATGTATAATCCTGTACAAGCCTGTGCTGCTGTAGCTCCACTGCAGCACCATGGAAGTAATCTGGCAGGAGGGATAAGAGCAAGAACTTCTGCAAAGGAATGCAGATTTTTTAAAGCATTTCCTCACATGCTGTATATGTGAGCTCATGTTTTGTCTGGTGAAAAAAAAGAGCTCCCCAGTCATTTCTGTTACGCTTTCTCTTTTCTTTAACCACTAGTCTCAACATTGACTTCACAGCCATCAAAAACCAAAAACACTTGAGGTTTTTACATGTCAAGAGTAAATAATTACTGTGGATGCATTGTTGCTTTCATTTGCATCATTTAGCCTGAGTGGTTTTAATTGTGTCATAAATCACAGCTCTGTAATCCAGACTCATGCGCCACCTAGTTGTTGCTGCTTCACAAATAAGCAGGAGCCTTTTGAAATACAGGAGCTGTGTATGAACAGTGAGCCACCAAAAGCTGCTGGGCTAATGTGCTGATCTAGTAACGATGAAATTAGCTTTGAATCTGGATACAGACACATCTGTTTTATTAGTTGCTCTTTATGCAAGTATTTAATCCACATGAATCTGATAGCATTTGTTTCATTGCAAAAAACTGCACAGTGAAAACTGTAGTATGCAATAAACTCCTCCACTCATACAGAGACAGAAACATTATTGTATCACTGTCTGTGGTGACCCTGGAATTATAATGTGTAACAAAACATCTGCTTGACAGCATGTCCATCTCACCTCAACACAGTGTCAAATCAGAGGAGCTCTAGGTGTGAAATCTAAACACAGTCACTGCCAAAGCAGCTATCATAAATATAATCAGACTCTGATTTAACTAGGGACATTAAATATGTATTTATGCATTGCTAACATATTTTCTAAGATCTATTTTATCTAGAAAAGTGACACGTTAATGCTTGTTTTGCTCAGCAGGCTTTCACGCTACACCTTTAGCGGGATCAGTTACAGCTAATATCTGATGACACTCTGTGGGTGTTATGTATCTTTCAATGGTCTGTGTCAAAGTCTCTTTTCCAGGTGTTTCCAGGTTTTCACATAACGGTGAAAATCTACAGTATGTCAGCCTTGTTCAGATGACTTGTTTTGTCCAACGGTTCAAAAACCAAAGGCATTCCATTTGCGATGATGCAACGCAGAAAAGAAGAACACAAACGTGGCATTTTCTCATATTTATGAAGCTGGAACCAGTAATTTAGAATTTTGACAAAACTCATTGGTGATTGATAATTAGACTAACTGATAAACTTTTAATAGTTTCAGCCCTAATGTCTTATCTTCTAATACACTGATGTTATGAGAGTCTTTTACAGACCAGCCCCAGCTCTGTCAGTAGTTTCTTCTGTAGTTGCTGAATTAAAATAATCATATTTTGACTAATTTCATGTGCACAGACAAATGTGACTTTTGCTCTTTCAGGCGCTTTCATGTAGGAAAGAATTCTTTATCTGATATGCTGGATGGATTATTACATATGAACTTAAGGTTTTTATATGAAATATGTGGCTGTAAATACAGTTATACCATGGGGCTGATCAACTGCTATGTTGATAAGACTGGTTTTATTAATGTTACACATCCAAAACTATCAGTTTTCTTTTTATTCCTTTGCCAGTTAACCGCAGCATCACACTCATTCAAAATCAATGTATATTTATCATGATGAACTAGAACAAAATGTAGGGAGTGGCCCATTTTATTTCATTTTAAGGAAATGTTTTCCTTCAGTTCAAAAATGTCTGCTCTCTTATCATCATTACGGTAATCATTCCTTCCCCGTCTCCTCATTTTCAGCTGCTGCTATGATCGTGCTGGTTGTTGCTAAGTAACTTGTTATTTCAGGATATTTCTAAATAGATATATATCTATATATATGTATATATATATATATATCAGTCAAATCCCATTTGCATGAGGTCAGGAGAGTGGGAGTGTGTTCATAGACAGTGTTTGCAGTGAATCAGTGGTTGGAGCACTGAGCAGCACTTTTAAAGGACAGAAATTCTCATCTTCTAGATGTTGTTTTTCTATCTTTAGAGCATCTGTTGACATAGAGGAGTATGCTTTTATTTTGTCTACTCATCTAGTACCTAATCGAAAATGTGTAAAAATGTCTTTTAGCAAGTCTGACCTTGAATCATTAGACAGCAAAAAGATTTTGGATTTTGTACTTTAAATACTCACTGAATAGTGTGAGAATTATATTTAATTGTATTAAAAACAACAAAAGGGTAATTCTTTTGAATTAAATTACGACTGACAGTATTATTGTTTGGAACGAAATACTGTAAGATTAACTGTTTTATTGTGTTTCCAGTGCACTAAGAGGGATTTTAGAGGAGACTAAGCTACATCAATTTGGTGAGACTTAACCCCTCACAAGTAACTCAACTCAAATGTCAAGTCAGAGCTGTTTTAGAGAAGACAGTAACGCATTTATCTCTATTTGATTTATTGACTTACCCCATTAGATTTATAAGGATATAACAGAAGACCATTGGCTGAGCTCTAATGGCAGCTCACAAATATTTAAATGAGTAACGTTTACAAGTTAAGATTCCTCTTAACTGTCGACAACTCACATGACACTTTCCCTCCATTTTATGGAAGTAACAAAGCAAAAATGATGGGCACCAGTGGGTTTACATGACACAAGTACTGAAACCTATCAATTTAAGTGTAGTTAGCTCAGATTTTATTATATTTTTATGTGTTGATTTGAGGTTTATTTAAAGGAATTGTTTGGCATTTTGGGAAATTATTTGCTTTCTTGCTGAGAGTTAGATTAAAAGATTGATGCATGTACATGGAATATAAAGTCACACTGAGCAGCAACTGGTTTAGCACCAAGACTGGGAAAAAATGAGGGACTTATACTGTTTCCTCATCTTTATGCTTAGATAATCTAACCAGCTTCATCAGAGTAGCTTCATCTTTCCTGTACAGACATGGCAGTGGCATCATCTAATTCACTGTAGCAAAAACAAATACACATATTTCCCAGAATGTCAAACTTTTTTCTTTAAGTCATAAACTCAAAATGTAAAAGATTGAAACTTCCTCTAATGGAAAGAGGTTTTCAGTCAACATAGTTTGTTTCCTTTGAAGGAACTCAGAACTTGTACCGGGGTGAGCTGCCAACTGTAAACCCTGTGAAACAGAGCAGATTGCCATCTGAGTTTAAACAGCCTGTCCGGTTCCCAGTCACAGTCACGTTGTGTCGTCACTGTCATCTGTTACTGTGCAAAGGGACATGGAGTAAAGAAGCTCGCTAGCCTGTGGAGAAAGATGACTAGTCCTGTTTCAGCCATCTTCATCATCGTTGACCTAACTGCATTGAAGGTGCCCATAAACCTGTGATTAGCATGCTGGCCTTTGAGCACTGATATGCTTCAGTAGATAATGTTACCACATCCCACTCACATAATATGTTGAAGCAATATTAATGAACCATACACTGAGCACTTTAGTGTGCTGTGGTGTCACTTAATAAAGGCACAAAGGAGAACTAGCTACTTGAATAGATTCACAGTTTAGATTCACAGGCACAAGATTTGTTGTTTAAAAATCTGAAATGCAGAGCAGAGCTTTGTGCATTTGCACAGCCTACACTGTTATCTTGAGAAAGCCAGGCTGTGTGTGAGATAAAGAGTCCCCCTGCCAAGTTTCTGACTAGGCTATGCAATGCACAAGATATTAACACAAAACTGTGAACTACGGTATCAACTTAATATTCACTGTTGCTTGCTAACATTCATACTAATCGCTCACACTACATGTACT